CTCTGTAGTCAAATGCCCTTAGAAAATCATTTTCTCCTGAATTGAAGTAAACCTTGACCCATGAGAGATTGCATGGTAGCAGACGTAGTGGGAAAATATATTATTTTCTGTTCCATTCCAATTACACTGTTGTTAAACCACCTCCAAAATGAAGCATTTTAAAAATGGAATTGCGATACTTACTGATGTGTATTCAATTTGTGACGGGTAGTGGTTTCTGCATTTAAAAAATGATTGTTCAAGAAATTGGTACATTTTGTTTGTGTAGTTAAAAAAAATCCTAAGTGTACTTCCTCACACATTTCTCAACACAATTGCTCATCAGTCTATTTATATGACTCCACTTTCCAGCTTTGCAAGGTCATTTAGAATTCTAATCCTGTCCTCCAAAGTAGTAACCACTTATTCCAATTTGCTATTATCTGTAAATTTAATCATCATGCGCTCTAGTCCATCAACCACACAAGTGATGAAAATGTTAAATAGCTTTGAATCCAAGATGAAACAATGCACACTAAAGTTGGGTAAGGCACTGTTCTTCCACAACGTCAGTGTGAATCTCCAACTAAACTCATTTTCAAATAGTTGTATAGTAGCCTTTATTTTTTCATGTAATTAATGTGTATAATATAAAATTAAGATATTCATAATGCCAACATATATTTATTGTTTATTTTTAACCTATCAAGTATTTTAAAGCAGAAAATGAATGCTTATAAATTTTGATGCCCCTATCAGGTCACTAGTTCTTCAAAGTCAAGGTGATATATTTCTATGTCTGTCTCCTCCTCCCTCATGCCATTGGGTGGGGAACCACATCAGGAATGTGATACATTAATCAATTATTAACTAGTTAACTAAGAAACACATGTAAGTTAATCATTATAACAAAAAACATATTGTGTACTTTTTTTTCCTAGACAATATTTTTGATCACTTCTCAAACAGATTGCATTGTTATTGGACCTGGGTACGGGTTTAACATGGTCATGTTAACTCTCATCTGTTAGGACTGATTTTTGATTCACTCTCCCAACTTCCCCTCCATCACACTTGCCCTTCAGTTGGGTGATGCACGGTAGCCTAGGGCATTTCTGAGATCCAATCGAGGATATGGTGAATATAGAATATTTTTATTTGGGTTTAATGGCACATATTTACCTGGTTTGCAATTACTCCCATGAGCAGTTAGCTGCCTTGGTGTAAAAATGGCTTCCAGAAATCACCCATTGTGCTGTACCAACCAAGGCACAGGATGTCTGTGTGGAACCATGAGGAGGTCCTGTAGTGCCTGGTGCTGGTAGTGTGTGGGTAGTGGAGGAGATTTAAAACTTGAGAGGTACAAATCCAGAAGCTAGGCTGTGAAAGATTCTTCCAAATTTTATAACCATATATGAAAAAAAGAATTTGATAGAAGCCTAAGTTTGGTAACGTTCCTGAAAATTTGTGTAACATCACTGATAACTAATTGTGATACTAAAAGAAAGTTATTGAAATTATCAATATGAAAGGAATTTCAAATTATATATGCCAGAGGAAAGATTGAATTCTATTTCTATTTTTTCTTTATGAACTATTATACACTTGTCATAGGAAGAGGCAAACAGTATGTGGCCAAAAAATTGTAAAAAAAGTGTAATGGAAATGTGTCAGGAAGTTAATGAAAAAATTATGTTCTCTTTTCTAGATTTGGTGATGTCCATGGCACCTTGCATTTAAAAAATTTACAATTTTTAAAATTCTAAATAAATGTTCATTTTCATAATGAATTTGTATTTTTAATTTTTTTAAAAAAAGATTTTATTTATTTATTTGACAGAGAGAGACACGGCGAGAGAGGGAACACAAGCAGGGGGAGTGGGAGAGGGAGAAGCAGGCTTCCTGCGGAGCAGGGAGCCTGATGCGGGGCTCGATCCCAGGATCCCGGGATCATGACCTGAGCCGAAGGCAGACGTGTAACCGGCTGAGCCACCCAGGCGCCCGGGATTTGTATTTTTAAATAGTTTTACTAAACGAGAACTCCCGGAGTGTGTAAATCCTAACCCTCACAAAACCTGTATTTGTCCTTAATACCACCCATTCCCCTCTGTGTAACAGTGATATTAACGATCCCTGGTCCAGGGTCATACTGGTTAATTGCAGCCAAGCCCCTCATCTTGGTCGTCATTGGTTTAGGGATGCACAGTCTTTCTTCCCATTGGCTGTGAATCAGGAATCCTGTGGTCCCAGGGGCGGGGGAGGTCTGAGGGATGAACCGAAGCCAACCCCAGAGGTAAGCAGCATCCAGAGAACCCTGGAGCTGAGGGAGCTGTGCTTCATTCCGGTTTGGGATGTACGGCCTTCCGGTTCTTCAGTATTTGTAATAAAATCAGGACTTTCAGAAGCAAAGCCAATCCTTAAATTTCAAAATCAGGGCTTTGAAAAGCAAAGCTGATTCTTAAATTTTACCGAATAGTGTAAAATGCAAAACCAGTTGAAATGTAAACACATGGAGAAAAATAGTGCCCAGTTTTTCTACAGGATTTTACGTCTGTGTGGAAACCGTTCTAATCCTTACATCTTTGACACTTTATAACATTGAAGCTATAAACAGTATCAATTTGGATGTTTTAAGCTCCTAATGTATTAAAAGTTGTTACTTGATTAAAAAGCTGCTAATTGGGGCGCCTGGGTGGCTCAGTCGGTTAAGCGTCTGCCTTTGGCTCAGGTCATGATCCCTGAGTCTTGGGATCGAGTCCTGCATCAGGCTCTTTGCTCAGCGGGGAGCCTGCTTCTCCCTCTCCCACTCCCCCTGCTTGTGCTCTCTCTCTGTGTCAAATAAATAAATAAATAAATAAAATCTTAAAAAAAAATAAAAAGCTGCTAATTTGGTCAATTTGAAAATACAGAAAATTAGGAATAAGAAAAAGTGAATTCGTGTGTACCTCCAGAAATTTTATTATTTTGATATAGTTTCTGGTCATTTTTCTATGTATATGTTTTATTTGAAAAAAAATCACTATCATACTTTATTTTTAAGTAATCTCTATACCCAATATGGGGCTTGAACTCACAGCCCGAGATCAAGAGTCACACTCTCCATCAACTGAGCCCGCCAGGTGCCCTTATTATCATATTTTATGTACGATTTTGTATCCTACTTTTTTCTCTTATTCTATATGACTCCAGCAGGTTATCACAGAAGGGCCTCCACATCTCACAGATTCAGGGGCCTCTGTTCACGTTGTAGCCTATGTGAATGGCGCCCCCTGGAGTTGTGCAGTGAACAGCCTGAGTACCCATATGAAGCAGTCTTGTGTCTGGGTGCCTAGGTCTTCAAGGTAACCTGTAGGATCTTCTTGGGCCATCCATTTAGACTATTAGACGGTAATAAAAGGCAGGGCAAACCTTTCCTGGCTGCCTTCCAGCAACACCATATAAATTCAATATTTAGCCTTTGTGCCCTTTTTCTCAGGCTGGTTTTGTCTGTAGCTTTGTCCCACAGCTCTCCTCTTACAAGGTTACACCTATATCTTTTCTTCACCTTGGGATAATCTGCTGACTCCCGTGGATGAAAAAGAGTGTTAAGTAAATTAACCTCACGACTATCTTAATGATAGCACTTCATCGTTACATCATTTTGCATAGTTCCAATTTGACTTCCTTCTGCCAGTTTGTTTGCATTGATTTTCTATCTGCTCATTTTCAGGAATCTATACTGTTATTATCTTTGCCCGATCTCCAGCAACAGTTAATCTTCATGATTCTAATTTTCCCTTTGTCAGAAAATGAAATATTGCTCATAATCCCATAAAGGCATCTAAATAATGGTGAAAAGCCAAAGTACATAATTATTTATAATGGCAAAATATAATATTTCTCTAGGAGTTGAAACACTAACTTGTTGGTAACTGCTAACATATTTTTACACTTAATTTATAATTTTGAGCCCTCTGATAGATCCTGCCAACTCCCCTGAAGCACATATTTTACCAATATAGGATGTGTGTGGATGAGGGATTACTCAGAAAAACTGGACCTAGTTCTCTGCTGATGGCATGATCTCGGGGCCGATGGGCTGTGCAGTAGCATTCATAACTTGCCCCTCCACCCTTGGGTCACAAAACTTAGTTTTCTAACTTTTATTTTCTGCAAACAGGACTGGCTGCTTAGACCAGGCTTGAAAGAAAGTGCAGCAAACAAAGCCATTTCTTTAAGGTTAAGTCCATACTCCACAAAATGAAAGAAGTAGGGGAGAATTAGAAGGGAGGAAGGTAAAAAGGGAAGAGCGGGTGGTTAGGAAAAGAGGCAAGAGCAGGTGAAGGAGGGGCAGGGGTGAGAAAGGTGAAACTGTCGGGGCAATTGACACAAGTTTGAGACACATTGCCTACTTGAACTGATGATGTTGGAAATTAAGTTTTACCCGGTTTGATCGTTGTTCTAATCTAATATTTGTCTTGCAATAAGGCCATCTTATGTATCAGATATTCTGTAGAAGAAGAGTAGATATTGATTATAATATTTCTTTGAGACTCCAGGGAACCTGGGTGGGTACCTTTTGAAATTATCTGAAAGCTCTCTAAAGTTATTAACACAGTTTTTATAAAACATGTTCTTTACTACAAGTCCTCCGTTGAGAGTGCCACCCAAGGTGTATATTAACCTTATTTTTCAGAGAGCTCAACAGGAGAGGGAAATATATTCAGTGTGCACGATCTGCACTGTGTCCCTTTATGTTGCTGGTGTGCTTGACGTTTCATGGACCAGTAAGGATTTCAATGGCTCATTAGACTTTGTGAAACAACACAGAGGACTGGGCTACCCAGCAACCACTCTAGCTTAAGATGGGAGGGAGGAGGACGTGGGAGCCACACTTACCTCTCTGCTGCCTGCCTTGGTCCTCCCATAGCCATGCTCCTGGCTGGGCTGAAGAGGCAGATGGGGATCCTCCAAGAGCTGCAGTACTATCACCAGCCCATTGTGTTCCTTTCATAAACACATAGATGCTTTTCTAAATCCAGCAGAAATCTGACTCCCTGGCCTGATCATTACACTTGTGGTCAGAATCCTAGCACATGAACTGGCACTGCTGCTGGGAACTGTGAGTCATTCCTTTCAAGTTGTTCCTGGTGTTGAAGCGAGTCTCCGCAGAGGACGAACAATCTGTCAGGTGAGCTCATCACCATCATCATCACTGTCTAAGCACCAGCTTCCCAGGAGACTGGGTAATGTGCGTGAAAAGAGCCCTTGTCAAATTCCAAGAATATCACTGTCTCATTGCATGACCTTGGACAAGGTCACTTACCTTCTCAGAGCCTTAGTTTCCTTGATTAAAACTGGAAATGGGTCCACAGAATTGGCACCCAAATTTAAACAGTTCATGTACGCAGATTTAGACAAATGAAAACAATTATTTTATAACACTGTGGACATAGTATAAGACACATTGGATATTGTTTGTATCTTCTACATTTGTAAAAGAATGTGAGATACCTACCATATAGTCCAGGAGAAATGATTGGCTCCTTAAAAATGTAGATGACTATTTATGGTTCATTTGTTCATTCAGCAAATGTTATCAGTCACTATTCGATGCAATGTCTTTGAGGCATTGTAAGGATACATGGATATATGACATACGGCTTCGTTCTTGAGGAATGTATAGATTGTACGTGTCTACAAGCAATTCAAAAGATAACCTTTGCCGTGGCAGTTGAAAGCAGAATAGTCCCGAGGAAGGCTTAATGTAGAAATAAGGCAATGAAAGCCATTTCCAACATGTGTGAGTTCCCATTATGTACACTGCTCTAGATATCTGTATATTCAGTGAGGACTCCCAGGCAGAGAAAACTGCCTGAGCTAGTGTAGGAGGCAGAAATCCATACATAAGGTGTGTTAGGGAGCAACAGGCTCAGGAGGAAGCAGTACCCTACTAAAGATGATTGAAATGAGTTTGAAGAATTTTCTAGGCATAACTTCATAGGTGGCTTTAAATATATGGTCTTTGTCTTGCAGATAATGCAAGTAGTGTTTCCTATGAAAGCCCTTAGGAAGAATAAAAATCTGTTTTTGATAAAAATTTTTGTTCTGCTCTGAGGCTCATAAGTGGGCTACTCCTATATAAAACTGAATTAGCTCTGAATCTGGGAAAGATTATGTGAGAGATTTTCATTTTTAATAACAGAGTTTCAACTTTCTTATGTGCTCATCTGGAACCCAAAGCTTCTGGAAATTTCTTAAGGCAATAATATGTAGTAGTTGAAGCTCTTGGTACTAGTCTTTTATTTACTGCTACCAAAATAAGAGTTTAAACAATTGATAAGTGAGAGATCTCTTGGCTAAGAGATATGTTGTCACCTTCTTAATCCTTCAAGTCACAAGAACTCAAATTTTTTTTTGTTTCAAGTTTTTATTTAAATTCAAGTTAGTTAACATATAGTGTAACATTGGTTTCAGGAGTAGAATTTAGTGATTCATCACTTACATACAAACACCCAGTGCTCATCCCAACAAGTGCCCTCCTTAATGCCCAACACCCATCTGGCCCATCCCCTGCCCACCTTTCCTCCAGTAACTGTCAGTTTGTTCTCCATCTCCCTCTTTTTTTTCCCCTTCCCCTATGTTCATCTGTTTTGTTTTTTAAATTCCACATATGAGTGAAATCATTGTCTTTCTCTGACGTATTTTGCTTAGCATAATACACTCCAGCTCCATCCACATCGTTGCAAATGGCAAGATTTCATTCTTTTTGATGGCTGAGTAATATTCCACTGTGTGTGTGTGTGTGTGTGTGTGTGTACACCATATTTTCTTTATCCAGTCATGAGTTGATGGTCATTTGGGCCCTTTCCATAATTTGGCTATTGTTGATAATGCTGCTATAAACATTGGGGTGCATGTGCCCCTTCAAATCAGTACTTTTGTGTCCTTTGGATAAATACCAAAGTAACGCAATTCCTGGGTCTAGGGTAGAACTCAAATTTTAACATTGGTATCAGTCAGGGTCCAACTCAGGAAAAACAAATCCTACCGGTTATTTAGAGAATTCATATAGGGAATTGGTTATATAGGTATTGGAGGACTGAAAGGTTGAAAAGGAACAAACCTAACAGGGTAATTGCAGGAAGCAGTTGCCGCCATTAGACCTGAGGGAGCAAAGGGAAAAGGTTGGGCTGCTAGGACTTAGAAGCTTGGAGGAGGAATCCAGACTTCTGAGGTGAGGAAGCTGCTGGGATGGTGCTGGTGCCTCAGGAACTCAGAGGAGAGCCCCGTGGAGCTGGAACCCAGCTTCAGAAGATGCTGGTGCTCAAAACGAGCACCACTGGCCTGGTTCTGTGAGATGGAAATTAAGTGGAAAATGGAACCAACTTCTACTGGAAACAATGAGAACTGCTGGGGGGAAGGCTGCAGCCAGGTGACACCGACGGGAACAGTAAGCAAACTAGGAGCGAGGTCCATCTCCTTGCACCCGGTTTCCGTGCTCCCTCTAGTGCCCCCTATCTGCAGAACCTAACAGCGAGCCAGGTGGCAAAGGAGAAATTTGGTTACAGAGACTCAGCTGTGGCCTCGCAAAGCCACACAGAGAAGGGTGGGTTTGATCCTGAGAGATGTTTAATAACCAAACACTACAAGGATACAATTCACTAGGAAAAATTACTTACAATTGAGATTCCTGAATTCCAGAATCAGAGATTCTGTAGTGTTAGAGTGTGGCCCAGAAATCTTCACGTTTGAAAAAGAACCTGGAATTATCTGATTCAGGGGATCTTCAGATCACGCTTTCAGAAATGCTGCTCTAGTTTTTCCAAGCCAAATCCTTGAGTCAAGTTAGGACAAGAGATTGTGAAAGGCCGAATTCCACTAATTTAGTTCTCTGAGATGATACTTTCATAAATGAATCTCGCTATCTTGATCTTTTTTCCCACTTTCAGAAATGCTAATATGGAAAGTGCCTCTGTGGTACCTGTAACAATTGCAATGGAGAGTTTTGTCCATTATAATATTCAACATCTGTTATTTTGTCATTTGTATATAATTCTTCCTCTGATTTAATACCAGGGTAAGACAAATATATCTTTTCACATGAATTTGTATACTTTTTTTTAAAAAGATTTTTTATTTATTTGTCAGAGAGAGAGAGCACACAAGCAGGGGGAGCCGCAGGGAGAGGGAGAAGCAGGCTCCCTTCTGAGCAAGGAGCCCAATGAGGGACTCGATCCCAGGACCCTGGCATCATCACCTGAGCCGAAGGCAGACGCTTAACCGACTGAGCCACCCAGGCATCCCTGTATACTTTCTCTTATCAGACAAAAGGAAGGAAAAAAAATAACATCTTGAATTTCTCTTTTGCTTTGGCTGCCAGGAATCTGAAACTCATTTAGTGTAATCGCTTCTAAGGCTTCTGCTTAATCATTTTGTTCCTATATTTCTTAAAGTTATGAGTTACCTCACCTATATTTTTCTTGCGACAGGTAGGACATAAATAAATATAATAAAAATCATAATGGTTATGTTTTTCAAAATACTTTTACGTATAGTACCTTAAAGTTTCCCATTGATTAACTCAAGGCAAAACAAAGGCCACAGTTGATGTCCTTTTAGAGGAATACGTCTGCTGTGGCAGTTTTCAGAAGGTACTGGGCTTGAATATGAAATCACTTTTCATATGAATGTACATTGTTAATATGTCCCCCAGGCCTCTGTGCACTTTGTAAATCAAAATAAAAACCTAGTGGTAAAATTCTACCTTTTCTGTATTTAATTTATTTTTGCTATTTTTATAATCGTATCTTGGAAACTTGGGAATGACAACAGAACATTTTTTGCTAGAAGTGGACGATCCCCAAAAATTCAGACAAAGAATGCTCTAGGCAGATGTCTTGGCCCTGTTTCGAGGGGGCTTATTGCAGATTGATATGGGATTTCACTTATAAACATCGTATTGTTTATAATACCTGAGAAAGCATATAATCAACAGTGAAATAAAATAAATACCCTGGACCCTTATTTAAGGCTGTTTCTTAAAGTTGACCCTCTCTTCTAAAGGAGATCATGTAACTACCTTTATGTTTGAACCCCCCTATGTGGCAATTGAAGCAGACCCATTGCACTGAATCTTCTACAGCAAACAGTATTATGGTATTGCTCCCACTGTCTAAGGAATTGCAACTCTGAATAAATATATGAGCAAATACTTGTTTTCTGGCTGTTATACTATTTTACTTTATAGTACTATTGTGTTCTTTTAACTAATACAAGTAGTAAATTTGGGGGAATACTCAATTTATAGAGTCTTTTTCTACCTCAAGGAGAAAGCGCTTCTCACGGTTCTCTTTTCTTATCAAAAGCTTGTCATGGAAACAGTCTTGGTGAGCGTGACAAAGAACTCTGGCATTTGACAACACCCCAGCTTATTTCATCCGAGTTATAACAAGGGTCTCCTAATGAGAATGATCTACCCCACAGATTTATTTATTGTTTATCATTTTTTTCTCTCACTAGCAGCATTATTTATGATTGCTAAGATATGGAAGCAACCTAAGTGTCCATCAATAGATGAATGGACAAAGAAGATGTAGTATATATACACAATGGAATATTACTGCCATCAAAGAAAGGAAATCTTGCTGTTTGCAATGACATGGATGGAACTAGAGGGTATTATACTAAGTGAAATAAGTCAGTCAGAGAGACAAACACCATATGATTTCACTTATAAGTGTAATCTAAAAAACAAAACAAAACAAATGAACAAACAAAACAAAGAGACTTATAAATACAGAGAACAAACTGGTCGTTGCCAGAGGAAAAGGAAGAGTCAGGATAGGCAAAATAGGTGAATAGGATTAAGAGGCATAAACTTCCAGTTAGAAAGTAAGTCATGGGGATGTAAAATACAGCATAGGGAATATAGTCAATAATATTGTAATAACTTTGTATGGTGACAGATGATAACCGGACTATTGTGGTGATCATTTAATAATGTATATAAATGTTGAATCATATTAAACACCTGAAACTACTACAATATTATATATAACTGTTCTTTGATGAAAAAATTTTTTTAGCAGGTAAGTGGGGGTGATTCCACTCATATGGTGGATATGGTTTCTGGACCTCTTCTTCTACTCATAATTATGTAAATAATTCAGCTAAATTCAAATCAATAAC